GTTTCTTCACTTCCACAGGTATGTTCCCCTTTCGATCTGCTTTTGTTTAGATCTCTTACTCTGATTTCATTCCAGATTTGGATTTGCTTTTCCTGCCATTTCTGGTTTTTTATCACTCTTATGAACTTCGATCTGGTTGTTTTCTCTTTATTTTTACCAATGTATGCTTTGTTTTCGTCGATCATGAGATTTTTTAGCTTCTAGTTCTTTGATTGCCTTTTTAAACAGTGGCTGCTTAGTTCGTTTGCTATTCTGAGTTTTCTGATGTGAATCATGTGATTTGTAAATCGTTATACTGTTTCTTGCTGTAAAGGATTCTTTTCCTTTGTTCTTTTTATCTTTTGTTTTGGAATCTGTTTGGTTAGTGGACTCGGTGACATTTCGATGGCTATTTGCAATTAGATTCTGAAAGTACTGTTGCTGATCTTTGACCTTTTGCGTGTTGTTATTGAAATTTTGTGATACTGGACCTGAGATCTTGTATTTGTTGGATATCGCTTGTAATTTTCTCGATGCAATTGTATTCTTATAACATCGTTTCTACTGCCATATTTACCTGGTGTCATGACTGGACTTGTGAAGAAGTTCAACTAAAGATCTCAGCTACTTGAATTGTTCTGTTGATAAGCGATGTTGAAAGTTGATTGACTGGGGATCGATTATTTGCTGACTTAACTCACATGATTTTTATATTAAAATCGTGTTGCTTACGATTATCCCTAGTGCATCATCTGTTTGGCCTCTCTTTTCCTTGTAGTTTATCTTCTAATAGAATATATGTGAGATTTTGCCCGTCACCTTTCCCAAGAATCAATATTTTCTCTTGAAGCCGATCCGGTTCTTCCTGTAAAATTTCAGTCTTTTAATGTTTGGACAAAAGTAGAAGCTAGTATGGGTTTTGGAGTAAAACTATTATTAGGTGACGTCGTTTATAATTTCTACCCTGGGCCTTATTACAAATTGGATTGTGTGCTATATGCTTACAGCTTATTACTACCAATTCAACGATGCATTGCACCATGTTTGGTAGTAATTTTCTCATTTGTGTGTGTTTTTTCAGTATTTATAAAAGATGGCCGATGCTGAGGATATCCAGCCACTTGTTTGTGATAATGGAACCGGAATGGTGAAGGTAGATCGCTGCTCTTCAAACATGTACCCGTTTTTCTTGGCATGTTTGCTTTTTCCTTGAGACTTGTAATAGGTCTGAAGTTTTTAATTTTTAAATTGTAGGCTGGATTTGCTGGTGATGATGCTCCCAGGGCAGTGTTTCCCAGTATTGTTGGTCGACCTCGACACACCGGTGTCATGGTGGGTATGGGCCAGAAAGATGCTTACGTTGGTGATGAGGCCCAATCCAAAAGAGGTATTCTTACCTTGAAATATCCCATTGAGCATGGTATTGTCAGCAACTGGGATGATATGGAAAAGATTTGGCATCACACATTCTACAATGAGCTACGTGTTGCACCAGAAGAACACCCAGTGCTTCTTACTGAGGCTCCTCTCAATCCTAAAGCCAACAGAGAAAAGATGACACAAATCATGTTTGAAACTTTTAATGTACCTGCCATGTATGTTGCCATTCAGGCCGTTCTATCTCTGTATGCCAGTGGTCGGACAACAGGTTCACATCTGTTTCTTCCTTCCATCCTAAATTTAGGACGAATAGGTTGTGGTTTGGATAAATATTTAATGAATTATTTGAATAGGTATTGTGCTCGACTCTGGTGATGGTGTTAGTCACACTGTGCCAATCTATGAGGGTTATGCTCTACCCCATGCTATCCTCCGTCTGGACCTTGCGGGTCGTGATCTAACTGATGCTTTAATGAAGATTCTCACCGAGAGAGGGTACATGTTCACAACCACTGCCGAGCGGGAAATTGTCCGTGACATGAAAGAGAAGCTGGCTTATGTTGCACTTGACTATGAGCAGGAACTCGAGACTGCCAAGAGTAGCTCCTCAATTGAGAAGAACTATGAACTGCCTGATGGACAAGTCATCACTATTGGAGCTGAGAGATTCCGATGCCCTGAAGTTCTTTTCCAGCCATCCCTCATCGGAATGGAAGCTGCTGGAATCCACGAGACTACTTACAACTCAATTATGAAGTGTGATGTGGATATCAGAAAAGATTTGTATGGCAACATTGTTCTCAGTGGTGGTTCCACCATGTTCCCTGGTATTGCCGACCGAATGAGCAAAGAGATCACAGCTCTTGCTCCCAGCAGCATGAAAATCAAGGTCGTTGCACCACCAGAAAGGAAATACAGTGTCTGGATTGGAGGGTCAATCCTTGCATCGCTCAGCACCTTCCAGCAGGTGAGACACTCCCTTCTTTCACTCTTACCTCTCTCTTGGTTCCATTTCTCGCACAAGTTTCTTACTGACTAATACACTTCGTATGTTCTTACCAGATGTGGATTTCGAAGGGCGAGTATGACGAATCTGGCCCATCCATTGTCCACAGGAAGTGCTTCTAGGTTCAATATGTGCTTTGAATGGTGAGTTATTTCCTTTAGTTGGCTTTTTTTGTGTCATGTGTAATGTGAACTGTTTCGGTTGAGCACGGATATGGGTCATGGAAGGAGGGTATATTTCTGAGGTCATTCATTCATATGCCATATCTTTCCACCGCCGCTATGAGTTTGGGATTAAGAAGTAACTGAGACCCTCTGGATGTTTATGTTGTTGTTGGTGGGCAAAAACAACTTTCCTTCCAAAATCTTTCCCTGCCTGCCTTTGCCAAATCTGTGACGCAACCATGTCTTTTCTCTTAGTAGGAGACGATTGTGATGCTTTTATTTTTCTCTATCCTTCTCTCTTTCTTCCTCCTATTTTATATTCCAAGTTCTTTGTTTATTTTTTTTCGAGAACATTAATGTTAATAGTTATTGTAAGACAAATATTAGTCAGTTTGGTCCTTCCTTGCAGTCATAAACATGCTATGCAAAATGATATTTTATTATTTGGGTTGAAAGCTTTATAAGGGCATCATATTCATATTCATATTCACATTTTTCTTCTTTCCATCCTCCTTTAGTGTTCTGTCTATTAATGGTTATTTCTCCAATTGTGCTCCTACAAATTGGAGGGCCATTTGAGAGCTATTGAAAATATATATATCAGAGGTTGATATTGATATGAGGGTTCCATCATTTTGAACTTCTTTTGCTGACTTTTCTCTTAGAAGAAAAGGAATCTATAGAAAATGAAAGAAATAGTTGGTCACAAATTGGTGACCTGTGGAGCCTTTGTATTGCTTCCATTTGTGTGTTGTAATGGGTTGGCCTTTGAATTATTTAGAGAGATTGATATATAATTGTCGACTTTTTTTAATAGTAGTAGTTGAGGTGCATAATTTTGCTGCTTCACAACTGTTTCTTTATTGTTTTAATATAATTGAATCAAATAATATATTTATTTTGAACATTTTTGAGTTTGTGTCCATGCATTTGAACTACAAATTTGAATTCATTTACTGTTAATGGCCATTTTGAGTCATAATTTTTTGAGGGTGTATAGTGGAAAGAAAAAGAAAGAATGATTTATTATCCATTTTACCATTCAAATTGGTCTGTTTGTTGTGATACTTTAACGTTCTTTACTACTGGCTTTTATTTTATATTCAATAATTCATCGTTTTTCAATTATTTTATATTTAATGATTCATCGTTTAGTTGAATAGGTGTATTGATTTTGGAAATGTGTGCCATTTTATGGAACTTTATACTTTAACTTTTAGTTTTAAAGTCTTGTTGGGTTGCAAATGAGAAACTAAGAGTATATATATAATATAAAAAGTAGTTTTTAAATTGGGGTTCTTTCCCAACTTTAGATAAGTATTGAAATGTCTTGCATTTATGTTTAGACATACTAATGAAAGAGTTTTTTTTTTTTCTATTTATCTAAAGTTTTGATATCTAAGGAGAGATGAAAAAAGAGATGTGAAGGAATCTTAGAGAGGAATAAAAGAGGGAATTGTAACTGGTTATTGTTTCTTTTAAAGTAAAATTATTACTATGTGCATGTTATGACTATGAAAATTCGATGGAAAGTTGAAAGTGGCGAAAGTTCTAATGATCCAGATGGAGCTAAAAATACAGGCATTTATGGGTTTATGTCGAGTCAAGAAATGCAATTACATACGGCATCGTTCATAACTAATGAGACTTACTTTTCATGACGGTTTCTTAAGCTCTTACTTTTTTTTAAATAGGGTTGGATGCATAATATTGCTTTACACATAGTTCATGCATGCACTCATTAACCTACTAGGTGGGCTCATATATCTTCCTCCTTGGCCGACAATGGGGCTAGCACATGCTCATGTTATCGAAAACTAACAGAAAAAACAAGTATAATATCATGGTTTATACATCCGTATTTAACATATTGGAAAGTAATTCATGCATGCAATATACATGCATGGGGTCTCTCTTTACATTATGGTACAATGTAGTAACAATGTGATGACGCCCCCACTTTAGATCATGGTAATGACCCAACCATAAACTAAGTTTCTCCTGGCCTCTAAGAGGGTGGAGCTCTATTGTTAAGTCCTAAAATTTAGGACTTTGAACCACTCTACTATTTTGGGAAATAGTCCATTTGTATTAAGATAAGTCTCATTGACAAGAATTCACAAGTCACCCTAAATTAAGATGAGTCGTAATATTAATCTCTTTTATTAGCGACTTATAAAGAAATAAAATATTTGATAGTTTAATCTTATATAAATTTATTGTATAAGATATCCTAATTCACATATCTCCACGATAATGATTTAGATCAAATCATTTGAAACAATTACAAAATGAGTCACATATGAGTCACCCAAACCCAAACTATAGAATTTTAGCTTATAACTTGAACACGATTAATCATTTAGGTTATTACTTAAACATGTTTCCGTCTCAAAGATCCTATTAAATTGCTAAACCCAAATCTTTTTTATCCAGATATATATTTTTTTAAAATTCAACTATCAACAAAGAACAAACCGAAAAGCAGAAATTTTCATACATAAGTACAGCAGAATCAGAAGTACATGGTTACTTTAGTGGCTATTTAGTATGCTTTATTTATAGTATCACCAGTGTCTCTTACTTGACTTATGAATCATGCTCTTCTAAGCAGCAGATTTTGATTTTTCAGATTCTTCTTGCTGTTGCTTCCACTGTTGTGGGGTCAGAACCTTCTTGATGGAGAGAGCATGAATCTCTTTCATTTCCTCCTCCAGAGCTGCATTCACCAACCGATGTCGTTCAAGCAACCTTTTCCCTTCGAATCGTTCCGAGACAATATCAATTACGAAACTCGCCCCGCACCTGGTGGAGATAGCATTTGTTTTATGCTTCAGGAAAATGGCTGTAGAAATGTATAACAAAATCTTAATCACGCGTGGTTTAGAACTTACCCTCCAGATGTATCAGTTACCTCCTGAAACAATCAAGGAAATAATTAGTGATTCAAGATGCTGATTTTGCAGTTCATGTAGTATACTAGAAATTTTTTTAAGGATTTACAAGAAATTATATTGTAGCAAACCTATAGATTAATGATAAAGTACTCTAGCAACCCCGGTGAGTAAAGGTAAAGCATTGTTGCAACTTAGGGAGTAGAATAGAGTAAGATGTATTGTGCAAAACTGTTTGTAATAGCCCCTCACCGCTAGCTGATATTGTTTTCTTTGGGTTTTCCCTTCCAAGCTACCTGTCAACGTTTTAAAACGCGTCTACTGCTTGTAATAGCCCAAGCCTAAGCTCATTACTTCGTTCCCCTCTCCAAACAATGTGAGATCTCACAATCCACCCCCTTGGGGGCCCAGCATCGTGGCACACTGCTCGATGTCTGGCTTTAACCGCCCAAGTCCACCGCTAGCAAAGATTGTCCTTTTTGGGGTTTTCCTTCTAGGCTTTCTATCAAGGTTTTAAAAATTGTCTACTAATGAGAGGTTTCCACACCCATATAAGGAATGCTTCATTCCCCTTTCCAAACGATGTAGAATCTCACACTGTCAACCAACCATGGGTCAACCATGGGTTAGGCTCAGCTAACTTATACTCCCCACTTTTAGAATAGTGAGCTAAACGCCCCTCTAGTGGTAAAGAATTTGTATATCTACTAGAAAATTCTAGCACTATGAGCAAAAAGTTGACCATCCTCACCTGACCTCCATGTTTGAAATAAAAACTTATTAAAGTGAGGTGCTTGAAAACTTGTGCGTTTCTTTAAAGTGGTAGCCTAGTAAGGACTAAAACAAGAATAGCCTCCTTCGAAGGAACTGTTCCATTTTCAAAAAAATGTGCCGATCCTTGAGGTCATTGGTTTACATACTCAATCCCACATTGGATGTAAATGGTATATTACTGTTCACTTTCTATAAACCCATCAATTACAGACAATCAATGAGCATCAGGCAAACTTCAGAACCGTTGCTTAAATATCAAATTTACAGAAAATCCCTTCAAGACATGACCATGGTGACAACGCTTTTTTTCCTCTTGTTAAGTTTCTGCTATACATTCAGTTTTCAGACTCCAATGAATTGCTTATAAAGCCCAGAATACTTTGTTCACAAAAGCAGTCCCCAGTTTTGAAGTTTTACTTCTATTTTGGAACTTCTAGTATTAAGTCCAAACACATCTCAGGGAAAATTCACAGTGTTCGTCTGGTAATCCAACAATAGTACATCACAAATCCTAACATATCACTAAGTAAGAATAATACAAACAATTTTGTTTTCAGTTCTCTTAAGAAATACAGTTTTTTATTAACAACATTTTTGTTTGTCATCAAGTTTCGGAGAAGTTTTGAAAAACTTAATTTGTTTCTCAAACTTGAACATTAGTGATTTCTTTAAGTAGAGAACAAGGAAGAAAAAATATCAGTAAGTCACTGAAGAAAACAGGAAACTAAAACCAAAATCATTACAAAATAGCAAATAACCCATGCCATTTGAACAAAAAAAAAACCAAAGCCTCTTTTAAGATAAATATTCTTTGAATAACTTCACTGTGAATGGAACCAATGAATATCATACTCCATAAGGCTTTCAGATCCACCACTCAAACACCATAAGATCTCCAAGTAAAAACAAAAAGCAGAGAAAATCATCCATTGGATCGGAAGATATCACTTCCAAATCTCTTCTCAGTTCCACTATCTAAATTCAAAGCAATGAAGTGAACTAAGACTTAGAAAAGCTAAACTAGCAAGAACACGATGCCAATTTTTCGCTCAATACTAAGTGAACAAAAAGGAAAACCGCAGGTCAACAGAACACGAGGATCGATAATCAGATGATCCGATGAAGAAAAAAGTCGAGAAAGAGCGTGAAGAAGAAGCAAACCAGATGCTGAGGATTCAATTTGGAGGTTAAAGTAGATTCGAGTTGCTCCTTTGTGACTCCCATCTTCTTCAATTGCCTTCCTGCCGTTTCTTCTTCTTTGCTTTATATACTTTCTCAGAGAAATGCAATTGACTTCTTAAAAGGGGCAGATGGATCTGATGGACCGCTGTTGCCCAAAGCCCACAACAACCAAAATTTTAATGGGCCCAAAGCCCACAACAACCATAATTTTAATGGGCCCAAAGCCCACAACAAATATTTAATATTTTTAACCGATCTTAGTGATACAATGTGACTTGAGAATGTTTGATATTTGAATTTTATGAGATTTTAGTTATTAATATTGTTAAACGTAGAATTTACTAGTTTGTTACTATGATCAAGAATTTATGATTTGTTAGTTTGTTACATAGATCAAATCTATGATTTTCTGTTTGTTATGATGGATCAAATCTATGATTTCTTGGTTTGTTAACATGTATCAAGTCCACCATAATCCTCATTATACACCTCTATAAATACATGAGTGGTGACCGGTCATAATGCCATTTAACTTGACATGGTATCAGAGCTAACGTTTTATTCATTAACAATGTCTATCCTATCTTCTTCCTCCTATCTTATCTTCTTCCTCCTCATCCACCATCTTTATCTTATCTTCTTCCTCCTCATCCACCATCTTTAACACGATCTCATCTACCATGGCGTTGATCTTTGGCCCAATCCCTCTCCACCACGCTGTCACAATCAGTCTCACCAAAAACAACTTCATCATATGGCGCGCCCAGCTCCTCCCCTACCTACGAAGTACGAAGCTTATGTGCTACCTCGATGGTACCATTGTCGCACCTGCTAAGTTGGTCCCTTCCTCAACCACTGCTGGGGCTGACTTGGTCTCTAATCCGGCCTATGATCTGTGGTATAATCAGGATCAACAGGTCCTTAGCGGCCTTTTCTCCTCCATGTGTGAGGAGATTCTTCACGATATGGTTGCCGCTACTACGTCCAAGGAGGCGTGGGATACCCTGCAACAGATGTTTTTGTCGTCAACTCGTGCTCGCACTATTCAGATTTGTATTGATCTCGCCACGTCCAAGAAACGCGATCTGTCTGCTGCAGATTATTTTCACAAGATCAAAGGGTTTGCCATCGAGCTGGCCGCTGCCGGCTTTTCCTTGTAGGATGATGATGTGATCGCATATCTCCTTGCTGGTCTTGGCCCTGACTATGATTCCTTTGTCACCTCGATGACTACAAAGAGTGAAACCCTCACGCTTGATGATGTGTTTGCACATCTAATGACGTTTGAGGCTCGCCAACTACAACACCAGGGTGAACTTCAGTTAAATCCTGGATCTTCGGCCAATTATGTTGGCCGTGGTGATCAGCAGAAGAACCGTGGGCGTAGGAATCGTGGTCGTGGTCGTTCTCTCAAGGTGGTGCGCCCTCTCGTCCTGCTGGTGATCGTCGTGACCCTTCTTCTCGTTCTTCTTTCTAGATCTGCGGTAAAGTGGGGCATACTGTCGTTGGCTGCTGGCATAGGATGGATGAGTCCTATCAAGATGAACCTCCGTCTACTTCTTCTGCGGCACTGGCGGCTACTTCCTCTTACAAGATTGATCCAAATTGGTATAGTGACACAGGCGCCACTGATCATATCACTAGTGACCTGGATCGTCTCGCTATGCGTGAACGCTATCATGGAGGTGAACAAGTTTAAGTCAGCAATGGAGCAGGTTTGCGTATTTTGCATACCGGTCATTCTTTAATTAATACTGCTGCTTGTCCTCTTGCATTGTGTAATATTTTGCATGTGCCTAAAATTTCCAAACATCTTCTTTCTGTTCATAAATTTTCTCATAATAATGATGTATTTTTTGAACACCATCTTTGACATTTTTCTATTAGGGATCGACGATCGAGGAAAAGTCTTTTAGACGGGAGGTGTGAGTCTGGCCTCTATCATATTAAGCCATCTAATGTCGATGATCTCAAACACACCTTAGTGAGCAGATCTACTACTTACACCAGTGACATGCACATCTTGGACATCCTTCATCTCACGTAGTAAATTCAATTTTGCGTCTCAATAATATTTCGTGTACTAGTGAGTCACCTTTGCCAGTTTGTAATGTGTCAGTTAGCAAAAAGTCATCGATTACCATACACTAGTTATTTTTCATAGGTCTTCATCACCTTTGAAACTGATTTTTTCAGAAGTTTGGGGCCCTGCCCCTCCATCTGTTGGGGGCTTTAAATATTACATCAGTTTCATTGATGATTTTAGTAAATTTTTGTGGATCTATTTGATGTATGATCGTACAGAAGCTCCTCGTATACTTTTGCAGTTTCAAGCTCATGTTGAGCGCCTCCTAGATACTAAAATCAAGTGTGTCCAGTCTGATTGGGGTGTGGAATATCAGAAAATTCATAACACATTCTTTCGTTCCCTTGGAATTATTCATCGTGTTTCATGTCCTCACACGCATCAACAAAATGGGCCCTGAACGCAAGCACCATGACATTGTTGAAATTGGCCTAGCCCTTCTAGCTCATGCTGATGTACTTATTAAATTTTGGGATGACGCATTTCTTACTGCCACATATCTCATCAATCGTCTTCCTACTAGTGTCATCAATAACAAATGCCCCTTAGAGCGTCTTTTTCATACCCTACCAAATTACTCCTTAGTGCTTGTTGGCCTCATCTTCTTCGTTATTACAAACAAAAGCTCTCTTTTTGATCCAAGAAATGTGTCTTTCTAGGCTACAGTCCTTTACATAAAGGGTATAAGTGTCTTAACACCGATTCTAGCCGTGTCTATATTTCTAGAGACGTCATATTTGATGAGAATGTTTTTTCGTTCAAGAGAGCCCCACCCAATTCTTCCCCAACCTTGCAGCTAACGCACAATGCCCCTGATTTGTGGGCCTTGCATTTGGGTAACAACAGTACTAATTTGGAGAATGATCATATGCATATATTTGTGCCTACTAACTCTTTGGATGTAGAAAATCTGGTGCCCACATCAGCTTCGGGATTGCCGCCGCAATCCTCCGCGTCACTACCGCGAGAATCGACATTGGTTATTCCGCTAATGATTGGGGCCTTGGATCCTCCGCCTGCAGATGATATTGCGCAATGCTGAGTCGGATCCTCGACCGTTGGTCGATCAACTGTTGTAGCATTGGTTGCTCCCTTCGCAATGGCTGGTACGACTGTCCCCTCAGTTACAGATCCTACACCTACTACTCACCCGTATGGTACTCGATTGAAGCGCAATATCAAGAAACCCAAGGTGCGTATCGAACACTAACATATTTTGTGGTTCGGTATTCTGCCTCTGAACCTACTTCACATATTACTGTTATGGAGCATCCCCTCTAGCGTTAGGCAATGAATGATGAATTTCAGGCAATTCTCGAAAATAAGGCATGACACTTAATTCCTTTTCGTGCTAGTTTTAACGTTATTGATTGCAAATGGGTTTTTAAACTCAAGAAAAAGCTAGATGACTCTATTGATCGCTACAAAGCACACCTGGTTGCTAAAGAGATTAAACAGTAGTATGACATTGATTATGATGATTCCTTTAGTCTAGTTGTTAAGCCCACTACCATTCGGTTCTTATTATTTCTTGTTATTTATCGTGGTTGGGCTATTCGGCAAATTGATATTCAAAATGCTTTTCTTCATGGTTTTAATGAAGATGTTTGTATGAAGCAACCCCCTAGATTTGTGGATTCTCAACATCCTAGTTATCTCAACAAGATGGATAAGTTGCTTTATGGACTCAAACAAGCTCCGCGTGCCTGGTTTTCTCGCCTTAGCTCCAAACTATTACGGCTGGGTTTTACATCTTCATAGGTTGATGTCTCTCTTTTCATTTTTAACAAGATGGACATTCAGATGTATATCCTCATCTATGTTGATGACATTATTATCATCAGCTCATCTTCTACGGCTACTGAGAAACTTCCTACACAGCTTCGGGATGATTTTGTCGCCAAGGATCTTGGCATTTTTAGTTGTTTTCCTGGGATTGAGGTCCGCTATACTTCCAATGAACTTGTTTTGATACAACATAAATACATTCAAGATTTATTGTCCAGAACCAATATGGTCACCTTCAAAAGTGTTCCCACACCTATGCTTCCTAGTGAGAAGTTGTTATTGGATGGTGGTGAAAAGCTCTCGCTTGAGAATACTACTCGCTATTGCAGTGTCGTTGGTGCTCTCCAATATTTGTCTCTGACATGTCCTGATATATCCTTTTGTGTCAACAGAGTGTGTCAGTTCATGTCCTTCTCGACTTCTGTACATTGGGCGGCGGTCAAACGAATTTTCCGTTATCTACATGACACTATTGATATGGGCTTGTGTCTTACAAAGTCCAACACTGATTTGCTGAGTGCCTTCTCGAATCCTGATTGGGCTAGGAATCCTGATGACCGTCAAAGCACTAGAGGCTATGCGATCTTTTTTTATGACAATCTTATCTCCTGAAGTTCAAGGAAACAATTGACAGTTTTTCGTTCTAGTACGAAAGCCGAATAAAAGGCGGTTGCTGATGCCACTGTCGAATTGAGCTCAGGATCTCGCAAGCGCGAGCGCCTAGCCTGTGGTATGACAACATTGGTGTCACCTATCTGTCCGTCAATCCAATCTTTCATCAACGGACGAAGCATGTTGAGGTTGATTATCACTTCATTCATGAATGAGTATCGACTCATCAGCTTGATATGCGACTCATATCTTTCAAGGATCAGCTCGCCAATATCATGACAAAGTCACTGCCATCTCCTTCTTTTAGCAGTTTTATGTGCAATTAGCAGTTTTATGTGCAATTTGAACTTAGTAGTATATCGTTCCAATCGAGGGGGTGTTAAACGTAGAATAAGTCATATCTATACATATGTATAGTAAGATAATTAACTCATTTACTCATTTGTTACCCTGGATCAAGGAGAATCTATGATTTCCTAATTTATTACCATGGATCAAGGCCCACCATCTAATCCTCATTATACACATCTATAAATACATGAGGTGGTGACCTATAGTTGAGAGTGTCATTCAACCTAACAAATATAGCATATTTGGTAA